TGCTATTATGAGGCGCTTTCTTTCGGTGATCCAAACGCGTTTGGATTGTCAAATCACGTTCTTTCGAAGTGTGATCTTATAATCATGATTGCTAAAATCGTGAACAAACTGAACATAAAAGTATTTTGACACGAATTCCTAACCTATAAATGCAAGGATATTCTGGATATTTTTGCTCAAATGTTAGATTAGTCAATATTTGTATAGCATAATCGTGCACGTGCTTCCACTTGTATTTAAATTATTTTCATAATCCAAACAAAAAATACGTAATTCGAATGCAAATGTGCGCTACGTAAACTTAACCAAACTTTGATTCAAATTCGCGCGTTCTTTCGTAAAACGTGATCCTACGAATCACGATCTCGAAATCATGATTGCGAAGTAGCCGAAAGAAAGCGCCTATTGTATAATTAAAAACACATATATAATGTTGTATATCATTGTTTAAAGTTAATTAAATCGTGGAAAAATAACATAACCTCTTAAGAAATTAACTAAGTTTGGCACTCAGGAATGTTAAGAACACCACTACCAACTGAAAAACAATCATGAAATTTGGAGTAATATAACCTCACTTTCGACGAAACGAATTGAACTTTTAATTAAGATTGTGGAAAATTTAGGGCCTCTTCCGCAGATTTTTTTTATTGAAAACGCTTCGTTAAGGTGCCCTCTATCCACTTATGTCAATTTCATGATCGTACCTGGGGGGCTTATTAGCGTCACGTAACCGAGTGGGGAAGAAAGTGAATCGGAGATGGACAGAAATCAGATTGTATTTGAAAGTAGAGACATTCAGCAAGAACACGGTTTGGACATATTGCCCATAGAAGTGAAAGATATTGAAGATGACTTAAATAAACCAAAAAGTGAATTCCACGCGGACATGTGCAAAATTCCATCTGAAGTCATTGATTCTCTGACGATGAGAAGTTGATGACAAGCTAAAGAAAAACAACATTAAAAAGGTCCGTACTTAATACTAACTGCCGGTAATATGGTGATCCTCCTTATGTCGGCTTCTCGCAGAATCGGCAAACAGGGTTGGTACATATAGACTGCGAGGATTTATTACTAAACGAAAAAAGGGGACCCCCACCGAACAGCGTCTAGATCAGCGCCGGCAATTCCAGTAGTGCGCAAAGGCTCAAGCACCAGACGGAAAACAAAGTGGTGGTGCTTAGCACTACACGCGCAACAAACTACACATTCTTACCATCCCTGCTTCGACTTGTATGGCAGAAAGATCTTTTTCTGCACTTCGCAGGCTGAAGACCTATTTGCGTTCGTATTTAAGGCAAGATCGACTCAATCATTTAGCCGTTCTCCATGTACATCGGGATTATACTGCGGCGTTGGATTGGATTTAAAACCCCTGATGAAGGAGTGGATTTCGCGATCTGCGCAACGTTCTTCTACTTTTTCGATGGCAATGTAATGAGATGTGCAATATATTGTTTATTCTATTTTCTCTTTTTATCCCCCGTTTACTCCTCCTAATCCAATTAATAAAAACATTGAATTTCAAAATCGTTTCTTCTGGGCGTAGAGCACCACACGTCAAAATAAAGAAGTGCCGGCCCTGGTCTAGATTAAAAATTCGACTGAAGAAAGTCGGCAGAACCCCGAATAAAAAACGGAAGGCAGGAAAGAGTAGAAATACAAATGTGCTATCCTCACGATCAGAATGCGTTTGTGATGACAGTAACGATCTCGGTGGCGATTTAGTTTTTCTGAAGATAGTGCAGAATCTGAAACATATTTTTATGCTGGGTTCTATATCGCCCACATACGTATGGGGCTTCATCCCCGTACTACCCCCAAAACCCTTAAAAATTTGGTTGGTTGGTTTCGTAGTTTTTCAATCATATCTTTTTAATGATTCACTTATACGTTTGAAATTAAAAAATGGACTCACTTCAGTTCAATTTTCTAATCCTCCTTAAATATCTATTCCTACCGCTGTGTGTGTGTGGGGGGGGGGGTGGAAGGATGAAGCTGAACTGAAGTGAGATAATTTTTTTGTTTCAAACGTATATTAGAAAGCGCTACAATCTCACAGATCCCCACTAGCAAGGATTGAAAGTTGAATAATTATGCATCGCCTTTGGTAAGGGGGCAGAGTAGGGAGATTTATACCACGATAAATTCAAGATATTTTCTCATAAAACACATAATTATAGAGATAAAGTATAAAATTTGGTTAAAACATCTACGTACATACAAATTTTGGAATTCTTAAAAATATAAGCAAATCTGAAGCTCTATATCGTGCTTAATAAGCATTTCACAAAGAAGTAGTTTACATCAAAGTTGTGTAGAATTTTGTAGTCTACAATTTCTGATAACAATATTTTCTTGTAAAGTGAAGTTATAAAAAGATATGATTGAAAAACTAAAAAACCAACCAAATTTCTTTGGTTTTAAGGGTGGTACGGGGTGGTACAAGGGGTGGGAGGTCGAAAACTTGGATTCCTAACCCCCAGATATTCTTCCATGACATGCAAAAAAAATTGGAACTACTTCTCGTTGTGCAAGAAATGGTCCATTTTCAGTCTTTATTTCCCGGACTATAAGCGGAAATTATAAACACATTGGTACTCCGCGCAATCGTTGCTCACCCTGTACAGTCGCAGTTATATTTCATTCATAAACCTGAAATCTTTCGGAAAATATATCAAAGTCCATAAGCATTAATGTACAATGGGTGATATAATATAAAAACGGTAATAAATTGTTGTAGCGTTTCAGAAGCCGCCTGACAGTTATGATGATGATGGCAATAGATTAATTAGCAGGTTAAAAGTGTTGTGAGTCGTTGTTATTGTTCCATTGCACTTGCACATACACCTACTACTTCAGGAGTAATAACGTTACATCACAGTATTCCCCCTGGAAGCTATGCCTAGATCTTTAATGTCCAAAAAGATTGTTGGGGGTGCAGAATTTATATTTATAGAATGGACCTCTTAACGATACCTACCCTTGCACTGCATCATGTCTACCTATGTAGTCTCCATTTATCATTAATTGCGTTTATGTGTCAATCGCTGTGTTCACATTTACTGGTTACATAAAGAACGGTAGATAACCTACGTTGATATTTTCGTAGCAGAATTCTGCAAATCCGTAAAATAGTAAGAGCAACGTTCTTGTATTTGTGAATGAAATACTTCATTGTGATTATTATCATTGTTTATTTTGAAGAAAAAAGTTATTCTTTTTAAAATCCAAAGGTAAATAAGCTGTGATTTTCCAAATTATTCAATATTTTCCTTCGCTTTAAGTTTTTAATGGTGTAGTTATACCGTGTGACGTATCAATTAAATTAGGTAGGTGTTGTAAATAAGTTAAGTTTAGATAAAAAATCCAACTAGAGTTTTAATGTCCATATTAACAATAATAGCGTAATGTTTACAACTCGGCCATTTTTGTATATCAGCCGTGCCAACCTAAGAACAAGTAAACTTAGGTGTAACACATATATACAGGGTAAGTAGTAGAAGATATATTACATCCCTCCCCTCATAGAAAGCAAAAAAAAACTAAGGAGAGTAGCGAATAACTGGACGGCGGATGCGCTTCTCACGAGCCGACCGAGGCGGAGTAGACTGAGCTGCGAAGCTTGGAGACTTTTGTTTTATTTAACACAGTAGTCTTGAGTCATCTTGATCGTGTTCTTGTTCAACACTATAATAGTGCGAGTTCATAAAGAATAGGTTGCTAACATACCTGCCATTCTTGTCCTTATATTAATTCCCATACAGAAAACGCATGTATCAGATCCAAAACGTATATACACAACATATAATATAGAAGATCCTCGTGAGGAGGTACAAGATTTATACATAAAGGATATGTGCCTAAACATCCATAGCAGTGGAGGCGGTCGATCTGACACAGGAGTCCGCGGAGTTTCAGCAATACCCGTCCGCACTGGAGTTGACTGCTCAGGCTGGTCCGGCGGAGATTGAGCAGGACCGGATGCTGCAGGCGTCGCAACAGGAACCGGAATCGCAGGAGTAATAGACGGCGTTACTGCTAGAGTCATTGGCACATCTTGTCCCACCTTCTTGAGTTGGTCCACATGTTTGCGATTTAGTTCGCCATCCACCATCACTGTATAGGAGAGTTCCCCATCTCTTGATATCACGTATCCCAACTTCCATTTACGTAAGGGTCCGTCCTTGACTGCGACTTTAGATCCCTCAGGAAAGACTGGGTCATGGTATTCGTACGACAATTGAGCGCGTTTCTCAGTTGTAGGGGATACTCTGGGATTTGTCAGTAAACTGAGTGGCGTATTCACTTCGCGTTTACGGAACGCCATTGCTGGACTTACGCCCGTAGTAAGATGTGGGGCACGCCGGTATGCTGCTATGTAGGAATGTACGTAATTTCTCTGCAGCATTACCCTCATTGAGGTTGAGCGTACGCAGGCACAGTTTCATTGCTGATACCATCCGCTCTGCAAGTCCATTGGTGGCGCAATGGTACGGTGCGATAGTCCTATGTTTAATGCCACGTTTCTGTAGAAATTCTGGTATCACGGCACTCACAAATGTAGATTGATTGTCCGTAACTAGGTACGAGGGTAGTCCGTATGACGCGAACAAATCGTCCAATACATTTATCACTGTAGACGCAAGCATGTTTGGTACAATTTTTATCTCAGGCCATTTTGAATGGGCATCAACAATTATGAGATAAGTGTTCTTACCATAAAACGCAAAATCGGCATGTATGCGTTCCCACGGTTTCTTGGGGTGTTCCCAATAATGAGTTTCCAATGAAGGTGAGCGGCCCTTATGCAGGCTGCATGCGTGACAATTTCGGCACAAATGTTCAATGTCTGCATCCATTTTAGGCCAAAATACATAGCCTCGCGCCAACGCCTTCATTTTCGAAATTCCTAGATGTCCCGTATGAAGTTCTTCAAGCACAGCAGGGCGACAGGCACTAGGTATGTAGGTACGCAAGCCCCTCATGACGCAACCCTACTGCAATGAGTAGAGTCCATCTTCATTTTCACCAAGTGTCTCGCCCGAACGGAGTTTCTGTAGCCACTCACGCCCTTCAATGTCTCGCTGAGTATGCTGCGCAATGGATTGGTGAGTCAGCGGCAGTAGTGAGATGTGGTGAAGCTGTACTAGATCAACTGGATCATCTGAGGTAGGAGCCTGACGTAAATCTGACGAGTGTTGTGGTAAACGACTCAGGAAATCAGCGTTGCCGTGCTCTTCAGATTTGCGATATTTGATGGTGAATGAAAAATCTTGTAGAAAGATTGCGTAGTGTAACAATCTAGTAGCACACAAAGTTGGTAATTTCTTTCTGCGTATGCCGAATATGTGAACAAGTGGGGCATGGTTAGTTATGAGAGTGAATTGCCTGCCCACAAGATAGATATTCAGCTTTTCAACGGCCCATTTGATGGCCAATGATTCCTTATCAATTTGTGAGTATTTCACTTGACATTTGTCCAACTTTCTGTGGATGTATAAAATTGGACGCTCGGAACCATCTGGATACTGGTGAGCGAGAACAGCTCCTAAGCCTTCAGGACTGGCATCGCAGCTAAGCACAATCGGAAGCTGTGGGTTGTGTGACACTAACACGTGGTCCTAAGTTAACTGCTGCTTCAACGTTTGAAAGTAGCACATTCACGTGTGCATTTCCAGGGAACTGCTTGCTTCGTTGCATTGTATAATGGAACGGCTGTAGAGACCATACCAGGAACGAATTTTGAATAGAACGACACCATTCCCAGGAACTTCTTCAATTCACTCACATTTGCAGGTGGTGGCAGCTCTTGAATGGCCTGTAATCCATCTTTAGCAGGACGGATGCCAGCTGCTGATATTTCATGTCCCAGGTAGGTGACAGAGTCCAAGAAGAAAGAACACTTCTGCAAGTTCAGGCGTAGACCGTTGGCTTGCAAGCGTCGTAAAACTTCCGATAGGCGTGATTTCAGAGTGATGACGTCATTAGCAGACACCACTAAGTCATCGAAATAACCTCCGAGACCCTCTATTCCAGAGATCACTTCTTCAATGAATTTGGTCCATATGACCGGGGCTGAAGCACATCCAAACATCAAGCGTGTGGGACGAAACAAACCTTTACGAGTGTTGATGGTCAGCGCAGCTGCCGACGCTTCATCTACTGGAAGACACCAATATGCCTTTGTAATATCGAGTTTGCAAAATAATCGACCATTAGAGATTATAGCCAATAGTAGGGGAGCTAGCACGAAATCCACTGAACGAGAATGATCAAAATTTTAACCGATGGTGTTCCATTTTGCCCTATCAGAGTATGCTAAAATCGATCGTCTGCCGCCTCAGGTCATATGACTTAAGGCGCTGCGGGTACTTCTTGCGGTACCAATTCTGAAAGGTTGTTTTTCGAGAAAATAAGTTATACACCAAATGAAAACGTTGATAATGGCTCATAAAAAAATATTAAAAAAAATCGCGCACATTTGATAACTCCGTAAAAAAACTATTCTTAGTCGGTTTTTCACGCACTTTCTACGGATATAACTAGGTTACCGTTGGAAGAATGAAGCTGATTTTTTTTACAGACTAATGATAGGTACAGCCAATGACTATGAGAGTGTTTCTTTTTTAAATTTTTTCTCTAATTATAAGATATCTTATAATGTTAAGATAATAAGATAATCTTATAATTAGAGAAAAAATTTAAAAACGAAACACCGTTAAGTCATTAGTAGTACCTATCATCAGTCTGTAAAAAAAATCAGCTTCATTCATCCAACCGTAACCTAGTTATATCCGTAGAAAGTTCGTGAAAAACCGACTAAGAATTGTTTTTTTACGGAGTTATCAAATGCGCGCGATTTTTTTAAATATTTTTTTAAGAGCTATTATCAACGTTTTCATTTGGTGTATAACTTATTTTTTCGAAAAACAACCTTTCAGAATTGGTACCGCAAGAAGTACCCGCAGCACCTTAAGTCGTATGACCTGAGGCGGCAGACGATCGATTTTAGCATACCCTGATAGGGCAAAATGGTACCCCATCGGTTAAAATTTTGATCACTCTCGTTCAGTGGATTTCGTGCTAGCTCCCCTACTACAATTGTTCCTCGATTTTCGGCAATGGGTATGACGGAACTTCCAACTGTGGGTTCACTGTACACGAGTAGTCGGCGGTAATGCGCACCGAGTCTTTCTTCACGACAGGTACAATTGGTGTAGCCCACTCACTGTGTTCAACTGGCATTAGACTTCCATCTTTCACCATTCTGTCCAATTCAGTTTCGATCTTGTCCTTTAACGCATATGGCACTGATCGATGTTTCATGAACACTGGTTTAGCATTATCTTTGAATTTGATTGACACTGACTTATGTGCACAACCAATCCCTTCTGCAAAAACATCTTGAAATTCACTTTCTAAGTCTTTCATACACTGTTGACCAGCTTTGACTTGATAAACGTGATTCACAGGGCTGTAGATGCCCAACTTGTGCAACCATTCTCGACCCAGCTGGATCTTGAACAACGTAGATGTCCAAATGTAACTTTTTATGCTTGTAGCGCACTTTCACGGTCGACATGCCCAACGCTGGTATCGTAGCAGAGGTACCGTACGGTTGGAACAGCTTGTCACTTTTTTTGAGATCAGCACGTAAGGTCTGGAACACACTGACAGGAACAATAGAGTACTCGCACCCTGTATCGAGCTCGAACTTAAGCGGCTTGCCTTGCACGTCAATTGTAGCAGTCCAAGGTGCACCTTCTCCATCAATGTGGTGAATTTCCTCCTTCTTCTGTCTGCATACAGTTGCTACATGACCACAGCTTGTACATTTCAGTTTGGACTTGTCCATTCTGCATTCTGGACTTTTGTGACCCATTTTTCCGCACTGGAAACACGTTGGTTTATCAGATTCAGTCGTCGTAGGTTGCTTGGATTCTTGTGGCTGCTGAGTTTTCACTTTAGTAACTTTATTGACTGTAGATGTCATTTTACTATCAGCTAGCATTTGCATTGAACTTGCTTCTGCTCTCTCTATTGCCACAGCTTTTGCATAAAGCTCTTCTAGTGTAGAGGTGTCAGGCATTGTAAATACCTGATCGAGTATCGATTTCGCACGGATTCCAGCAACGAAAATGTCTTTAAGGACTTCTGCTAGTGTATTAGCATCATATCCGCATGGAATCGCTAACGCTCGTAACGACGTTAAGTAGGTATTCAGGAATGCTTTCTCCTTCCCTTTGTCGACGTGAGCACAGAGCGTGTCTTGAAGGAATGCGCAACGGCGGCGGGCGCATGTGCCCAATGAATGTAGTCTTAATCTGCGCATATGACCGCGTAGCTACTGTCTCCGGAAAGATCAAGTTTTTGAGTAGTTGATACGTTGTAGTGGGTAGTAGAGCCAGAAATGAGGCCTTTTGTCGGGCTTCATTGTAATCGTGTATTGAAGCGAGTCCTTCAAATTGGCTGCAAAAATCTTCAATATTTTCGCCCTCTGTATATCGGGGAAAATTTGGAATACCTTGAGGTCGCTGTAGGGGCTCCTCAGGTTGCAGATTCTGGTTAGGCTGATGTTGATTCTGAGCTAGTGCCGCAATGGCTTCGGCCATGCGAGTCATCGCGAGCTGCATAGCTTCCATTCCTTCCATGGTAACACGGATGCTCGAATGAACACACGAATATACCCATCAACTTCACCGATCGACTGCGCCAGTTGTTGTAAATAAGTTAAGTTTAGATAAAAAATCCAACTTGAGTTTTAATGTCCATATTAACAATAATAGCGTAATGTTTACAACTCGGCCATTTTTGTATATCAGCCGTGCCAACCTAAGAACAAGTAAACTTAGGTGTAACACATATATACAGGGTGAGTAGTAGAAGATATATTACAGTAGGTACATCTCTGTAACTTTTGCGACGACTTCAGCGTATTTTTGCAGCAGATCAGTATTCTATTAGTCAGTTTTGACTGCACCATCAATAAGATCTGGGGCATATTTCATGAAGCAACTTTGCGAATTTTCACTTGTCACTTTGCAATTTCATAATTTTAAAGTGCAAAGATTATTATCTATTTCATAAAATACTTATTTTAATCAACATAGTATTTCGTGTGCTATTCATCTCTACTTTACATATTTTGAGTGTTATCACGTGTCAAAATAGTCTTTATGGACCCTGCAAAGTGACAAGTGAAAAGCTGAAAAGTTACTTTATGAAATAGGCCCCTGGTCGAAGGCTACCATATTCCCTGTGTCGGCACCTACTTCCGACGCCCTGTTCGTTCGTAAATCGCGTTTGAATTTTTTACTCCACCATCAGTAAGATGTTGTCGGGAGCTACCAGATTCGCTTTGTTGGTATCCATTTATGACGCCCCCACAGTCATATAAATGCGTCATTTTGATGGATTTCGCTATAAATCCTGCACAAAATAGGTCACATTTTTTGGGGAATTTCTCATAGCTCGAGTTTCTATTGGCAACACGAGAAAGGGATACAGCGATTAGAGTATTAGGAAATTGTAAACCACGTGACAAAACTCACAGTGGAAGGTAACTTTTTTGCGCCCGGAGTCGGCTACCCCTCGAAGACGAGCGCTTTGCAAAAGATGGTTGTGCACGTTTACAAGATCTTTTTGACTAACCCTAGGTTGAAAGTAATCGGACCAAAACTGTAGAAGATAGAAAAAAACTGAAAAATCACCACGTTCGTAAACCACGCTCGGGAATGGCGCTCAGATGTCGCCGACCCCACATCATGAAGTCCCGCCCCTAAAGTTGTTAATTACACGGCTCGGTCGATACAAGTACACTCCTCGTCTTTAAACATACGTTCTTCTACGAGCCATCATTTGCTGCCAGCCATCCAACCAACCAACCGGTAAAAGTGAGATGAAAAGTCACCTTTTTATAAATAAATTTGCAAAAATGTGGTAAAAACTCATTGAGAGCTCGAAATAGTATTTTATTATCACTTTCGGTTTGTCGGGAAGTGTCTAAGTTTCGAAATTTAAATTAAATACCTACCATATATTGTAACATTTTTGAATTTTACAAACAATTTTACATTTGATACATCATTTTCAGTCATTTATACGAGGTTGACCGAAAAAACAATTAACCGAAGTAGGAACAGATTGTAAATATGCAATAAAATTTAAAAAAAAATAGCGGGACGTAAATGGACCCTCATCGTTTTTCATTGATTGGTGCTTTTGGTTTACTTTTATTGTAATTTCTTCTCAAGTAAACTGAAAATCCAAAACTCCCCCAAATACTTCAAAATTAGCGTTTCCTTTTTTTATTTTTTCTCGGCGATTGTTACACACAGGAGAATGGAATTGGTGGCTTTGTCTGGGTTTTTAGAGGTTTTTGATTTTGTAAAAATGAAAATCTCCCCAATTACACAAATTACACTATTAAGGGTTCACAGATAGTTGGCTATCCATTAGACATTTGAAGAAGAGGTAGCAGTTGTGCATAGACAACAATAGAGGTCAGTTTGAGTAGCTATTGTAAACTTAAATATCGTATTTTATACTAACTTAGTCATCAATCTTACGATCAAAATACATATACCGGGTGGTGCACGTTAAGTAGGAACATAGGGATTTAACATGGGAAATTAGTTTTATGCAATATCCTGCCCTCCTGTACATTTTACAGAAAAAAACTGAAATTCACTGACGCTCTCAATGTGCGAAACAAGGGTTTAAGGGGAAATTACTCTAGTTATTTTTTGATAAATTGTTTAGACTTTTCGTGTTCCAGAAATTAAGAAATTGGTAGTACTGGTCGTACTACACACGGTGTTACCTAATTAATTGAGTGTCGATAATACAGAGTGTGAATCCTCGAGTGATTTTAAGAAGAAAAGTTTATATCAACATATCTCCTAAACCTCTTAGTTCTTGAGCTACGAGGTGTTAAACCGGCTTTATGGTTAAGTGGTAGAGCGTTGGACTATAAATCCGGAGCTCGGGTGTTCGAACCTGGGTCGAGGTGAATTTTTCATCTGTGGCAGAGATGGGAATTACCTTAGACCAGTTTCGAGTATTCTACCGGCTACTCCGCTGTTCTAAAACGCCTCGCGAACGTACGTCCACACAAGTTTCGGTAACAGTTCGCGATCCTGGTCTGTACACGCCTTTGAGGCGTCAGTTATTCGCTCAGCTACCAGGTGGCGCATGGATAGTATGTTTTCAAGATTAGGCGCCATATGGCATAGCGCATAGCCAAAGCGGGTATAGTACCTATGCGTCCACTTAGCGCAGATGGCTTAATCACCAACTTACGATCGCGACGATGCGGCTTGAATGCGAGCGCGCGCGTTTTTTTTTTTGTAACTCTACGTTCATTCAATTTATGTGACAACTTTTTGTATTAATTATTTAAAGGAATGGTAATAGTTATAATGTCAGTATAGAAAATACACGGGTTTTTTCATTATAATTTTTTAAGGGCACCTTCTGAATTCATTCACGTTAACATTCCATGGAGAAAATTTGCCTCACATCATTCTCTATCCAATTCAACAAATGCCGTTACAAAATCGTTAAAACAACTTTCCGGAATTGAAAGCATCCATTTTTTACGCATTTTCGCATCTTTCGGTACTTTAAAAATAGAAATTTATTGTTTAAAATGTTTGTATCTCGTTTTGAATCTCGGCACAGTGCACGGTTTCGTCATTTTTGTCTTAAAGCGGCGTTTTTTTTTACGAAAAGGTTCAAAGCGGCCGTACTCCTTGTGTTGACAAGTCAACAATGACAGTTGCGGCAAAGGAGGAACTCTTATAGCAGTAATAAACAGGTCTCTGTATTGTCCTTTTTATTTTACACATAACAGTAGCAGTAGCACACAAAACGTGCAACTATTTGGATTGTTCAAAACCGCTCCCTTCTCCACCCACACGCCAGGAAACATACTAGGAGATCTGACACCTAGGTGTCGCTGGCAACTTGGCACTGTATGTAATTTTTTTTAAGGAGATCCTCATCTTGGAATATATAAATTACGCCCAGTTTAGTGTTTATGCCGTAAAGTTCCACCAATATTAATTTGTGCTGGTTTTAAATTTATAGTTTGCGTCTCAACATCAATGTAACGGGCGATCAAAAAAGGATTGAAGTTGATTCACCTTTAGAAGTTCAGTTAAATAATATTTCCCATTAAAATAAAAATTCCATAGAAGTTTCGACAGCAACTCTATTTTGATCGCATATAATATTTTAGTTGGCGAGTGGTAGTTTGGAATGTTAACATTCATAATTGAAAACGAAATTTTCTGACCTTATCATCTTTGCCTTTGGATATCTTTGACCAAATACTTCTTCTACTTAACGTACGCACATGACCCGCGGTGCCCTTTCCCGGCCATTGACACGACCAGAAATCTTCCATCGAGAATCATTTGAGTAAATTTGAAAGGTTTCTGACGTAAGTATTTTGTAAAATATTCGTTAAATCGCGATTTTTATCTGAATGGTATTCCATAGATTCAGGCAGACGCACGTCGCCACCTGTATTTCGAGTAAAGCGTGTAAAGAGGAAGGGATTGGATGGGCCAGTTTAGCAGGTTAAAGACAAAACACGGCTTAAGAGGACTGAGGAGATGGTGGCGCATGACTCAGAAAGACTTCAAATTGAGCTAAACATTGTCAATTACACTTTGTAACAGGTGGTCGCTGTAGGCCTAGAAAATGTTGGCATAGGAAATTGTATACGTGTACCACACAATAATGAAAGAGAACGGAACTAATATGCGAGAAAATGAAGCGCGTTGAGATAAAAAGCGAGTGTAAAATCAGATAAAAGTCGAAATGCCACAGTGTTCTAAAAACCGTCTTTACGGGGCATGAGGGGCGCATAGGGAAGCTTGCTTCTAGTTGGGTCCATTTCGGTATTTTAATTCGGCGAGTACATAAGTAAAAATTAGATAGGAGAGAGGGATCCTTCGCCAAGCCATCAATGCGAATCTATATAGATTCGGTATCCTCAGATCGCGTAAAGTTACATGTGCGAGACAAAACAGTATAATCGAAGTACATATAAGAAATAATCGTCCATTGCGTAATCGCAAA